TTACAGTAATAGAGGGTTTTTTTCTGCCCTTATTTACTCTTACAAGCATGTCACATAGTTCGAGTCCCTCTGTCCAGCGTGGGTTCACATCCGGCTCAAAGAGAAGCGTGTTGTCTTCATGTGGGGAATCCATATTTACATAACACTCAATTCGGACTGATGTACGTTTTGGTATGTTAACCCTCTCTCTTTTTGTCTTGACTATATACTCATCCACTGGTGTGGTGCCAACTTGCTCTACCACAGCCGTTACCTGCTCTACAAAAGCCGCCGCTTGGCCTGGAAATGCTGCCCTTACTGTTCTACTTAACCCTTCCCTGTCAGTAGTGTTTGACTGTTTCAGTTCACTGTCTATAATAATCCCAATCACATTAGACCCAATGATAGGTTGAACAAGTTTACCACCCTTCATCACAAGTGTGGGGACAATTACTTCTGTGTTGGATGCAGCCCCTGAAGCTAATCTAAAAGTTACCTCGACCCAACCTGTGTATGGCATGCTCTCCCCATTTGCTGCCTGTATGTCAAAAGCCTGTGTTATGTCCAGAAGTTCTATTATGTCTCTTAGTTTTTCCTCTGGCAGGTGGGCTTCTTTCCATAGCTCATCAATTATGGTCACTTGGGAGCCTGAGTCCCACAAAGCCCGAACACTTTGGCCTTGGATGAAGCAATCAACCATGTGCTTTTCCCCTACCAATGGAGCCCTTTTAGCCCTTTTTGTAGTGGTGCTTGTAGTCATACACGATGGTGCTTCACATTCTCGTTTGTGTGCTGCCCAGTTATCAACTTGACATGGTCTAGAACAGTAAAGCGCTTTCTTACAGGATGCACATTGCTTCAGGATTGGTCCTTTACCCTTCTGTCCACAATGCACACATTTCTGGGACATTGCTGTGTTACTAGTCACTCCCTGTCCCGTGCGAGTGACCTTCCCCCGTTTAAAGACTCACCTCCAAACTGTCTCTGTCCTCTTGCTCGACAACCAGCCAGAAAGTGCTCGCTACTGCCACACCTATAACAGTGCGTGCAATAATCTTCAGCTCCACTCTGTTGACAACCAAAACATTTTCTTCTTTGGCCACGATTTAATTGGGGGAAGCTGTGCTGTGGGACAAACCTTTGCTGATACTGAGCAGTTCCCCCTCTGTGTCTGGGGTCCGTAGTAAACCAGTATCCCTGTGCCGGATCCTGCACCTGCTGACCTGAAAATGGCAATCCTGATGCGCCATCGGCCCCCCCTGCTGGCGGTGGCTGTCTAGGCATGTGCTGGGGCTGTTGCATGGACTCCCTAATGTGAGACACTTCTGCTTTAAGATCTTTCAACAGAGCCATTTCAGATTTAATTTCCTCAAGCTGGAAAAGAACAGCTGGGGAAACTTTAGACTTTTGTTGAATCGGTGGGTTTTCATTCTTTTCGGTAGGAGCATCGTTGGACTGGGCTGAATGGACGGTTACAGGTCTTTGTTGTCCTGACAATTTTTTCTTGTTCTGCCTCTCGGTCTCATAAGCACATGCTGTATTCATTCGCTCAAGCAACAATTCATCAGAGATGTCAGCTTGCTCCAGATAAGGGTGAAGATCCCGCCTGATGTTGTCATTCTGCAGGCCAGTCAACACAGTATGTAGAAACATCCTCTGCACCAATCCAGGGTCATATTGGAGACCCGACTCAGATTCCTGCGAAGCGAACAAAATCTTTTGTCTCAGGTCGAAAGTGCGAATAAGGAAGTTCTGTGGGGTTTCTTTGATGCCCTGCACCTCTGATGTCAATTGCTTATACAGTTCGGTTGCACTTTTCTCTTGATAATGACATCGGAGTATTCGCCTCAGTGTGGGTAAAGTCAAGTTGGTTTTGCCCTCTAAATAGCTGCGAAGTTGCATGCCTGGGGATATCGCTCTTACAACTGCGTCTACTATCTCAAGTTCAGGAAACCCCTTGCTTGAGCCATGGTCAATTTGACGTGCTAAGCTTGAAAAAGTCAGCTTGTCTTTCTGACCAAGCTCACCGATTTGGCCAGCTATCTTAAAGTCCTTGTGCCATGGGTGAGGTGCAAGACTGTGAACTACACTCTGTGGTGACTGCCTGGTGGTTTTAATTCCTCTTGTCTCTGGCTTACTGTTCTCATTCTGTTTCTGTGCGCTTGCTGACTGAAGCTGCAAGGCCTCAATTCCCTCCAGTATTTTTTTCTCCTCCCCTTCTTGTTGTTCGCCTACTTGTTTTGATGTGCCAGCTTTACCAGCTATCTGGAGCTCAGACATTTTGTCTTGAAGATGGAGTAAGTCAGCCATACCTTTATCCTCAAGCTCGTCTAGCTCCTCTCTCTGTATGTGGTTTGAAATTAGTGTGATGAGAGCAGTTCGGCCCTTGTTGATAACATGTTCAAACTCTAATCCGGCGATGATTAGATAGTCACACAACTCCACCAAACTTTCTCGGGGCAACAGACACAATGCCCTTATTACTTCAAGCTGTAACTCCTCTAACCCTGTCGACTCCATCTTTCCAGCTGAGTGTGTGCTAGCAGTGAAGTGGTACCTTTCAATCTTTGGGTAGTAGTAGCAGCTCCCCTGGTATGCAGAAATACCTCAGATCACATGCAAGCTGCCCAAGATGATCGGGATCCCACTGTCGCTGATTCGCCACCTGCTTCTGATGTTCTGGGTTATTTAAAAGGGATGTGTGACGGCTGGGGACATCTCTTGTAGACGCTGAACCTCGCTGCACACTATCCCAGCGGTGCCTCCAAATGTTACGCCCCTGTAAAAAGGGAAATAGAAAGTAAAACACGGACACGATGTAGCTTCAGTCAAGTCCAATGTTGTAATGCATTTACCATGAACAGCATAATAACATGTTTACTCAGTATCACAATTAAACATGTAATTCTCCCTTTACATGACATAATAATGTCCCTCTAACAACTAGACAATAGACAAAAATATCAGCTGGTCAGTTATAACTGCATATTACAAAATATCTGAGTTAACCTTTAAATTGAGTTACCAAAAATATATCAAAATATGTTTACAGCATCTTAAAACAGCATTGGCAAATAACCTTGAAAATGTACATTTAATAAAACAGACTATTTAAACAAAATAGATTTTACTTAACCCTGTAAATTGGTTTGGAAAAATAAACAGCACAATATAGAATATTCTGTAATGCTAAATACTGCTGTTTTGTAATTATTCATTCGGAATACACTTAACATTTCAACCTCAGTAGTATCATTGCACTTAAACAGAAAGTATATTGTCTCTTCACATTAAACACTATTTTTCCTATAAACTTAAACAATAACACTTTTAACTTTTTCCTACGATATAAAACAAATACAGAGAAAATGGCGGCGCCGGCGGTATTACATTACCACCACGCTTCACTCTCGGTCCACATGACATAGTTAACGTTAGCATACAGGCTACACTGGAGCAACACTTCACGGTTAGTCTGCTAAATGTGCATATATCAACTAGTATAATCACTAACATTTACTCTCTGCATGTTCCTTACAGTATGAAACACACATATAAATCATTCAAACATACTACAGCCCACTTTCTTACCTGTAAAAAGGGAAATAGAAAGTAAAACACGGACACGATGTAGCTTCAGTCAAGTCCAATGTTGTAATGGACGAACGTAAGCCACAGGTTCCGTACACAGGCTAACCGAGGCATTAGCAATCGATCACAAACTGGTACTTAAACTTACGGCACAATAAAGTGAAACTTATGTAAACAAACAAAGACCAAAATGGTTATAGAAGTTAAATAAGACAGCATTTTAAACACAGATCGTCTTTTTATCCTATTAAATCACTTCAGCCTCTTTTACAGAAAAAGCAATAGATCACCGATCCACCGACCACAAGTGTATTTTCTTTCTCCTGTTTTATACAGAAATAAATTAAATATTTCTTAAACAGTGCAGCAACGCAATGATTTAAAGAATTTTAACTTTTAAAATGAATATATAAAATAAAGATGTTTAACTTTTTATGAACCATATTAAGTATATTTCAATATTACATCATTTTTATCATCCTTACACAATCACCCTGATGCCTTTTTGTTACACATATTTAGACAATGTATTGAATATAATGCATTGCTTACAGTGTTGTTATTTATTTTTGTTTCTAGGAAATGCCTTATGGACAGAGATGTACCGTAATTTTTAGTTATGCATGTGTGTGTGTGTGTGTGTGTGTGTGTGCCTCTGCCTACCATGAGAAGGAGCAGATGATCAACAGGATCAAAAGATCCAATCACAGGAATTGGACTGTATATTCCAGTATTAAGCGTAGAAATGTCAAAAAGATTAACAGCTAATTTATCTATATAAATTAGCTTAGAACTGCCACCAAAATTGGGTTAACATGGCTATGGAAATAAAACCTGAGTAGTTATGTGTTCTGATTCTTCGTCAGTATTAACATCATTACTCGAAGATCATCCAGAGAAGATCTGATTTATAAAAATATTCATGCTCTTGTATCGTATTCAAAGGAAAAAAGGGTCAGTGGGATTCTGCTGGGTACCAGCACATAAAGGGATTCATGGAAATTAAGCTGTACGTACGTAGCCTATATAGTATGTACAATAAAAATGTAGTCTGTGTGGCAGAAACAGGATGGAAGAAGTTATAATAACTAGATCAAGGCTTGTTCATACTTGAACTCTTCGTTGGCTTTAATAGGAATCAGTGGAAATGATTTATGAAAAGGACTAACGTTAGCCTACAATACATGATGTAAGTGCAACTGCGTGTAGCCTATAAACGAAGCTATCAGGCTCATCTGTATCTGTATGCTATGTTGGTACATATACGCTATCTAATACAGACATTAATGGTCATTATACCATAGTTAAAACAGGTTTCATCATGTTTTTGACGGAATTGTAATCAGGCGCTAATGTGAGTGAGTCGCCTACCCAGATTTGACGGAGGACCCGGAACTGATATCACAAACAATCGATCACGGCTCCGTTCGTTGCAGACATGCTGACGCTTCAAAAGTTTATTATTAATGTGTTGGTTGTGTTTTTATTCCTCGTTCATGGTAAGACACTTACTTGTTTCAATACATATTCCTGTCAACGATAAATAAAAAATGACTAAATAGTTTTAGATGTATTTACCTGCCGGTGAACCGGCTCACCTTTGCTGAATGAAACTTGAAATATAATTTCGAAAAGCTCTAAAATAGCTGTAAGTTACAACTAGGGTGAACAAACGTCCTCTTCTCCCCGGGTTTTAGCTTAGTCTCCCTATTGTTTTCATACTTTCTGAAGGTAAACTGAAAATCAGAGTAATTGCATTATACTTACTCATCACAAAAGTAGTTGAGAGAAGAGACTATACTCGTTCAAAAATGTAGTCAAGTAGAGAGTAAAAGTTGCTAATATCACTGATCAAGAAGCCAAAAATATACTTTAGTACAGTAACTAATTACATTTACTCATACTTTACACCACTGGTTTTTACTGTGAACAAGAATTATATTGTTTGTTTGATGCTAATTGTAAATTAAAGAGAAGGATTTATTTTTTATTTATAGCTTTTTTCCCCCACATTTGTTATAAGTTGAGATGTATTTCTAAACATATACATGATATACTGTAGAAAACACCCCATTGCAAAAAGAAAAAACTGGAGCCTCGTCAATAGGGCAAACATATGCTGATACCTCTGAAGTGTGGAACATAACCTGAGAGTACAGAGTCTTCTTCATCTTTTTCTTATTGGTCAGAGAGTCTTGCCGAGAGTACCTGTAGAAAAACCATGGTCACCCTATATACTCATTGGCAGGTGCTACAAATGCATTCAAAACTGGAAATAAAAGGAATAAAGTATTATTAATGAGCTGTAAGGGTACCAACAAACTTGAGCATGTATATGCGCAGTATTTTGAATACAAACATGAAATAGTGGTATTTAAGTCATAATTTTGGTGAGAAATTGCAATAAGGCATTTTCCATGGCTTTGTAGGGATTATATTCATCAGGTCTGTAAAAATATGCAATAATCACTTGTGTAGTGCATAAATGCAATAAATATGGAGTATACGAATCAGAATGTAAAGTGTGTATTACGTTATACAAAACATCCATGAGACATGGATGTAAATAAGTGATGTTCTTCTGCTGTTTTTTTTTTTAGTTTTTTTTTTTAATACAGACATATTTCTACCCACACAAAAAAACCTTTTCAGTTTTTTCCTTTTGAATTTTTTTTTTTTGTCTTTCAATCTAAAAAGATATTTGATTAACTGTTCGTTTCTTCTCCAGGTGTGTCTAATGGCACTGATGAAGTGTCATTGATGGAGGGAGATTCAGTCACTTTATACACTAAAACTGAAATAAACCAAGGAGTCAGAATTAAATGGTATTTTAATGACATTCTGATCGGTCGAATCAGTGGAGATCAGAGTAAGACCTGTACAGATGTTCAGTGTAATAATGGCACTGATGGGAGATTCAGAGACAGACTGAAGCTGGATCATCACACTGGATCTCTGACCATCATGAACATCACAACTGAACATGCTGGAGATTATAAACTAAAGTTCAGCAGCAGCAGCAGCGGAAAGATCTTCAAAGTTGCTGTTCATGGTGAGTCATTTATGATTGTTTAAAAGCAAGTAAGTAAGTAAAATTTATTTATATAGCACCTATCACAGATAAAATCACAAAGTGCTTTACATAAGTTTAACAAAATAATAACAATTCATATTAAAAAAAAACACAAACACATACAAACAAAATAGCTCAGTCAACTGAAAGCTTGTCTAAAAAGTACTGTCTTTAGCTGTTTTTTAAAAGAATCAACAGAACCATCGCTATTCAAAGCAGGTTGTATGTTTTAAAATTTCATCATTAATCTTGAATTTAATTTTTAAAAAATCATTCCAGCCATAAGGTTTTATTTTCAATTATCAACTCTGTTGTAAATCCTCCAGTCAATACAATGTCTGTTGCTTCTGATGTTCAATGTGAAGGCTTCTAGATTTTTTTTTAATGACAAAATCTAATTTAAGACCCAATGTAAGCTTTTCTCATATTGAACCTCCATCCCATGGCTGCATCCTGCCTTCTGGGATCTTAAAGACACCATCGCTATTCTCAAACCCACCTTTTGCTCTTATGACATTATACACCCTAGATTTTTTTTTTTTTTATAATTGTTCGACTATTGGGCCGGGGTTTGGTGTCTGTTCTTAATAAGTGTCTTTCTACCTGCTCTGTTCCTGATAATCTCAAAGTGGCTACTGTTGCTCCCTCGCTCAAGAAGCCTTTACTGGATCCTTCTGTGTTGAGCAATTTTCACCCAATCCTTCAAAAAGGTTTTGGATTGTGAAATTGGATTGGAAAATTGTGTTTGAGCCACTTCAGTCCCTTCTAAATTGTAATTGTATCTTAGAGATTTTCCAGTCTGGTTTTAAATCTGCTCATAGTCTGAATCGGCCCTCTTGAGAGTGCTATTTATTGTTTTTATTTTTTAAATATATATATACTACTGACTCAGGGGACTCCGTGGTACTTGTTATTTTAGATTTAACCGCAGCATTTGATACTATTGACCACTCCACACTAATTTCTAGGTTAGAGTCATGTGTGGGGATAAAAGGTACTATCCTCAAGTGGTTTCAGTCTTATTTATCAAACAGAAAGTTTTTGTTTTTGAAAGATTTCTCCTCTTCTGTCGCTCGCGTCTCCTGTGGCGTCCCACAAGGCTCGATCCTGGCACCCTCTCTTTTCTCGCTGTACATGCTATCCTTGGGGTCTATTTTAAGAAGACTTGGTGTTTCCTTCCATTTTTATGCTGACGTCATTCAAATATATATACCTATCAAGAAAAATTATCCGTCTGAATTAACTTCTCTTTTATTATGCTTACACGAGGTTAAATCTTGGCTTGCTCAACTTTTTATCTTTAAATGAAGATAAAACTGAGGTGATAGTTTTCGACCCCATTGATCATTTTAAGACCACCCGCTTGATTTGAGGAACTTCTCTGCATTCAGATCTACGCATGTGCAGAATTTGGGTGTGCTTTTAGATGAACCTTTAAAACTTGACAAACAAATATCTTCGGTAATTGGATCTAGTTTTTTATCAACTTTGTCTTTTGTCTAAAATTAAACGCTTCCTAACTGACAAAACACTAGAGATGGCAGTTCATGCTTTAATTGCTTCTCGTTTAGACTACTGCAACTCATTGTATTGCGGTATTTCTAAGTCACAAATCGCTCACCATCAACTGGTCCAAAATGCTGCTGCAAAATTTATTCGCAAACTTGTAAATATTATCACATCACTTCAATTCTGAGATCTCCACTGGCTTCCTATTCAGTATAGAATTGATTTTAAGATGATTTTATTTGTATATAAATGTCTGCATAACCATGCTCCTATCTACTTATTGAAATTGAGTTGCTGCATTCCTATACCCCTTCTAGAAGCTTAAAGGGATAGTTCACCCAAAAATGAAAATTAAGTCATTAATTACTCACCCTCATGTTGTTCCAACCCCGTAAGACCTTCGTTCATCTTCGGAACACAAATGAAGATATTTTTGATTAAATCTGAGAGGTGGATCACTCCTCCATAGGCTTCTTAAGGGATAGAAACTTGACGGCCCAGAAAGTCATTGAAGAAAATGTTTAAATAGTCCATGTGACTACAGTGGCTCCACTATAAGTTTATCAAGCGACGAGAATACTTTTTGTGCGGAAAAACAAACAAAAATAACGACTTTATTCGACTATTCCTTTTCTTCCTTGTGGGCCTGAGACGAGAGTTCAAGAGATTTCCAGGACGCATGCGCGAGAACTGAACAAGAAGTAGTAGAAGTACGTCCTCTTCTCAGTTCTCGCGCATGCGTCCTATGGCCTATGGAGGAGTGATCCAGCTCTCAGATTTAATCAAAAATATCTTCATTTGTGTTCCGAAGATGAACGAAGGTCTTACGGGGTTGGAACAACATGAGGGTGAGTAATTAATGACTTAATTTTTATTTTTGGGTGAACTATCCCTTTAAAGGTGCAGTGTGGGATTTTTAGCGGCATCTAGTGGTGAGACTTGCAAATTGCAAACAGCAAGTCACTCGCGGCCTATCCCTCGGTTTTCAAACTCGAATGAGAAGCTACGGTGGCCGACGTAAGACAAAATATGTCGTCGTCGTCTGAGTCAGCAGCAGAGAGTAGTAAGTCAAGCAATGAGGTTTCTTTAGCGCTGTTTGTTTGCTTTCGGCTACGGTAGAAACATACCTTCAGACCTTCATAGAAGGGGATTCCCGCGCCTATGTAGATATAAATGTCTCATTCTAAGGTAATAAAAACATAACGGTTCATTAAGGTCTTTATACACCACTGAAAACATAGTTATGGATTTTATATTGCATCTCTGTCAATAGATCCTCAGAAATATTACACAATGCACCTTACATAATATAATAATAGTAATCAGCTGATTGTCTCACGAACGTAACCAGCACATTCTCCCCACATAGCAAACCCATAATACAGCGAGGGAGAAGAACCACATGAAACTATGCAACTATATATTTTTTCTAACAGGGTAGTAAAAGTTTAGCTGGCTAATATGAGCTGTTACTGTGGCTGAGCTGGTTAAAGCGTAAAGCCTTGTTTAAACTCGACGCGTCCGCATGAAGCCTTGTTTAAGGCCAATTTATACTTCTGCGTCGGGTGCGCGCAGTAGGTACGGCGTAGCATACACACAGACGCGTACCATACGCCGTACCCTTCGCCGTAACCTGACGCGCACCTCCTCAAAAATGTAACTACACGTCGCGACGACGCGGACCGCAAGATCTGTGATTGGTCGGCTTGGTAGCATCGCGTTTCCTCCTATGCATTTCCGGCGTGTTCTTCTGCACCGCCCGCCATTTTTAAAGTCTAAGTACAGCGAAACTGTTAAAAAAACTAAAAATTTACCTTTTCCACATCGATAAGCTCCAACTCCAACATGATCTGCTCTCTTTCAGTCGACATTTCTTGTAGTAACCTAAACTCAAAACTGCCGCGAGGAATCTTCTTCTTCTTGCCGCGAGGAATCTAAACACAGTGGAACATTAAAACCCTCCGCCGCCAACTAGCGTTTCGGCGCTGTACTGCAGAGCAACGCAGACCTAAACGCAGAAGTATAAATGCTCATGACGCCGTCGCCTACGTGCGTAGCCTACGCCGTACACTACGGCGTACACTCGACGCAGAAGTATAAATTGGCCTTTATACTCGACGCGTCCGCAAGAGCGCGAGCTGCGCGCGGCAAAAATGACGTCATTGCGGTGTGGGTGGTCGTGGGCGTTGAGTGCGCAAGACCCCATTTCGCCTGGCGGTGTGCACGGCACTTTTTGTAACATCGCGCGCGGCGCCGCATCCGAAGATGAACGACTTCCAGCCGAATCTGGCCGAACTGGTACGTCTGTACCAGCATGTTGATCCTTCTGAGACATTTGCATTGATGGGCGACCATAAAAGCCTCTCATTTTGTGAATAGGAACACATTTGCATTAAGCACCCAGTTTGCACTTAGTAAAGTAACTGCTTACATTTACAAAATAAGCCTACAATAGCAGAAGTAAGCCCTGCTGATGAAATTAAGGTTTAAACACTCTTCAATAAGCCTTCAGTTGTTTAACTAGTTTACATGCAGTGAAAGTACAATAAACCTACTGCATTTATTACTCTTTTTATATGAATCAGAAATTAATAAACTAAACGGCAAACTACTTCTTCACTGCTGATTCCTGGTGGTTTAGAGGAGAATTACTCCGAGTCGCCCCCTGTCGTTTCACAGAATAGCACAACGGCGAGCGCGTCAAGTATAAACGCCTCGTCCGTTTGGAGAGGTGCGCGCGGAGTCAGCGGAGACTCGCGCTCGTGCGGACGCGTCGAGTATAAACAAGGCTTGAGCCCACAGGTGCGCGCGGCAAAAATGACGTGATTGTAACAGCGCGCGCGCCTCCGCATCCCCTAGACACCACTTACTACACACAATAGGCTTTTTTTCTCTGATTTTGGAAACTCGATCGACTTAAAATGCTTCCAAGATCGACGGGTTGGTGATTCCTGTAACTGTTTTACGGTCAATGACAAGAGTAGCCTACTAATCAGCTGTCTCACGAACTTAACCAGCACATTTATCCCCACATAGCAAAGCCATAACACAGCGAGGGAGAAGAATTAAGTTACATGAAACAATCCAACTACATATTTACACCACTGACAAGGGAAAAGTCACTACTCACGGTGTTTACGACTAGCTTCTTCTAGCTTCCTGCGGCTTCTCTCTCAACGTAGTGACGAAACGCGCTCTGTAACGCTGTTTGTTCGCGTTCGGCTACGGTAGAAACATGACGTCACAATATGGCGACCTTCATAGAAGGGGATTCCCGCGCCTATGTAGATATAAATGCCTCATTCTAAGGTAATAAAAACATTACGGTTTATTAAGTAAGTTCTTTATACACCACTGAACACATAATTATGGATGTCATATTGCATTTCTGTTAATAGATACTCAAAAATGTTACACATTGCACCTTTAAGATCAAGTGACCAAAACATCCTTCAATGTACCATAACTTGTATGTTTTTTTGTCTTACCTTGTTTAGTCTTTCTTACTTTACTGTACAGCACTTTGGCCAACCAAGGTTGATTTTAAATGTGCTCTATAAATAAAATTGATTTGATTTGATTTATGCAACTTAGCCTTAGAGATCAGACAATTTCCCTGACAATTTTATAGATTTTTTTTCTTCTTAAATGTGTATATTCAATTATGTTTGTGTGTATTATTCTAAGTGTGTATATTTAGGATTTGTATCTAAATGTTTTGTACAGCATATTGGTCAGCCTTGTGGCTATTTTTAAATATACTTTATAAAATTAATTAAACTTGAAACTTGATGTATTTATTATAACAGTAAATCAGGAGTAAAACTCATTGTTTTTTAATTCCCCGGGTTCCAAAATGCTTAGAATTAGATCTAAAATAGGATAAGTTTGTAAATGTGGATAAACATTGCTTTACAGACTAGACGGTCAAGAAAGCCTCAAATTTGCCTATTTGTCTCATATTGTTGGTTTGTGTTTCAGGTGTTTCTGCTGAACGGGTTCAAATGAAGAGAAAGACTGTGAAGGGAGGAGAAGCTGTTACTTTAGAGACTCCTGTAGAAAAACACTCAAATAGTGTGATGACGTGGTATTTTAATGACACTCTCATCGCTGAATTCACTGGAGATCAGAGTCAGATCTGTACAGATGTTCAGTGTAAAGAGAGATTCAGAGGCAGACTGAAGCTGGATCATCAGACTGGATCTCTGACCATCACAAACACCAGAACCACAGACTCTGGAGAATATAAACTACAGATCATCAGCAGCACCAGCAGCTTCAGTATTAGGAGGACCATGAGCTTCAGTGTTAATGTCACTGGTGAGTATCATTTAGTCATTTGGAAGGAAAAACACTCTTAGGGCCCGTTCACATATCGCGTCTTTTGCGCGCTCAAGTTCATTATTTCAAATGGAGGCGCGCGGTTTGCGCGCTCATAATGGAAGCGACGCGGTCGCGGTGCGACGCGCTCGTTTTTTCCTGGTGCGTCCGCGCCGCATCGAGATAAAAACATCTCAACTTTTCAGAATGCCGCAAGCGCACCATAAGCGCACAGTAGGTCACGTGACAAGAACCAACCGGAGCGCAACCGCCCTAGCGTTTTGAAAAAAAAGAATGCGGCGCGCCCAGCGTTTTCTACGCGTTTTTAGGCGCGATATGTGAACGCAGCCTTACTGTGTGTAATATAAATAAAGTTGGCATGCCTTCGTTACATCTTTTTATTTGATTACTTTGATGACTGGTACTAAATCAACGGTACTTTTGGCATCACTGCATGAAACCGTAATCTACTTTAAACCGAATGAGATTCACATGTGATTTCATTGTTTGTTATAGATCAATCTGACAGATTCACTCACACTAATGTCTCTGTCTTTCGCTGATCCAGGTTCAGGTCTGTCTCCAGGAGCCATAGCAGGAATATGTGTTGTTGTTGTTGTTCTGCTGGCTGTAGCTTGCGGGATTTACTATCGCCAGAGGAACTCAGGAAGTTGTAAGTATCTCCTTCAGATATTATAATGAGAGAAAACATCTTTATTGTGCAACATTTTATATTAAGTTGTGTGTGTGTGTGTGATTATTTTTCAAAGTAAACATGGAGAAAATTAGGCAAAACGTTCAGTATGAAGACCTAGAAAAGGTAAGTTACTGCACTACTGTAGTGTATCTTTGTAGAAATCTCTGACTTTACATATAACATTCAGATCTATATTTTTTGTTGCACTTTTACTGAAAAAATAAATAATTGCAATGGGAAATAAACATTTCAAACGACAGTTTCACAAAAACTTTTTTTTTTTAGTTTCTGTGACTCTAAATAATAACAATGTTCATTTGTCATTCTTTACCTTCTGTGATTTGTTGATTTCTTACAGAACGAGACATTCCAAGACCTACAGGATCAGGGTGAAGATAATATGAGTGAAGATGATGAATAAGTGAATTGTCAAAAACATATTTCTATTTTTACAAGTCTCTTAAAGTCCCTAATGGGCTTGTGTTTTTAAACTGCAACTTGATTAAATCCTTTCGCAGTCACATTGATTTTAGGGATGGGCAAGAGCACTCCTTCGTGACATAGACAATCTATCATGAAAACGAACCCCTAGACGTTAAAAAATATATTTATATTTTTTCTGATTGGTTATTGCAGCATTTTTTGGGTGGTTCCTGAGGTCTGGTTGTGTTATCATCACGCCTTCCAGACCGCCGAAATAATGTGAAACTGGATTTGAAAGGGAAAATGCATGGAATCACTTTGATCATGAAATATGTCCAGTGCCAATATTTCATAATATATAGCATTATATTGAGAACACAATATAAATATAATTTTAATATAATGTTGTAAATTCTCAGTGCTTTAGTTGCCCGTGTATCAGCGTTGTTGTTAAGGGAAGAGCGCATCCAGAGTTACGTTTATGTTATGCATATAGGATATCTGATTATTATTAATCTCATAGGATGTGTCATAGGACAGGATTCAGTTTACCTTAGTTCATTAACTCTTCAGCTTTATCTCAACAGCTATTGCTTTTAGATGGGTTTTTTTTTTTTCGATAACATTAATGCATCATAATAATTTTTTTCTAGTCGTTTATGTTTTCGTGTCATTTTTATTTGTCATTAGGCCTTATTTTCGTAAGTCTTGAAATATTTTCATGATTGATTTTTCCAAGGGTAGGGGAGGGTCTATGGGCGGGTAAATGTATGTTGTTGTTGTTTTTTCAGATCTTTTGATCTAATGGACAAAATAAGCTTGCACAATTTACAAATGAATGCACCCGGAGATCAAAACCAACAAAACACACGGAGAGCATCAGCTTTAGTTTCTGACTAATAGACACAAGACCAGTCGAACGCTGTGAGTGTGTGTTAGAAATCAGGAATGGTGAGAGAACATTGTGCTTGGTACATTTTTCATCTTCAAATCAAACTTAGGTCAGCCATCAAAGTTTAAATCCCGTCTGGCTTGCGCTCTTCCCATAATCTTTACGAATTACCTCAGTAACTGTAAAGTAGACAGTCTTTTGTAGCTGTTGGTCTACACAAAGCAATCCGGGCAAATGTGTGTTCTACCTCTGGAAGTGGTCAAAAGTGGACACGTTCATAACGTTTTAGACCCTGTTTACACCTGTGTTTAGCGTCGTCCACTTGTGATCCGATTGAACAAAACACTTTGTGGTGGAGGTTTGCCTTTAGCGGTGTCATATTTCAGCAGATCTCCTGGAGGTTGAATGTTTCTGGAGTGAAGCTTTTGGAAAGCGACTTCCCAAAGAAACGTGTCTCAGGATGTAACCACTAGTTGCTGCTTATTATCTTCAACTTCATTGTTGGATTTTCTTTTTCCCCACTTTATATTTAAGTCACAAATAATCGACTTGTAGCATTCAGCCTTCTTCCTAAACTTTTTTTTCTCATAAAAGACAAGGTCCCAAGTCTTACACCTTTTATTAATTTAAAAGGTATATACCCCCAAAAAAGTTTTTTTTATTCTGTTTTCCGTTTTAAATTGCCTGCACTTTGTTCAAGGTTTTGAAAAACTGGCTGCCACTTTTGCACTTTTTTCGGCGGTTTCCCGGACCGAGATTAAGCAGATAGTCCTAGACTAAAATGGCCCTTTAAACTATTCTAGATTAAGGTCTACTCCTGTCTTAATTTAAAGCCTGTCCTGGAAACCGGGCCTTTATGTTTAAATGTTTTATTTATTTTGTTTTGATTTAGTTTCTTTCTATTTTTATTTACATGAATTGCTTTTGATAAAGGAATGTGAATAAACGTTACAGTCTGTGTTGATTTTGAATAAACTGTTTAAAATGTTACAAAAATCTTTATTATATTTTTAGTGAAAATATTGCTAAAATGTTATTTTCTGTTTTAAAGTTATGTTTTTTTAATGTTTATAGAATCATACAATTTAATTTCTGTTTTATTATGCTATTATTGTGATTCAGTGAATGTTTATTTCAAATGGCAAACATGTTTTTTACCAGTTTGGTTGGGGATAATAACCCTGCGATGTGTGTAATTTCAAAGTGAAATATGAATTTCCTACTTTACTACTTTTTTAAAAAAACATTTTTTTTTTTTTTGCAAATTAAAGGATAGAAACATTAACAATGAGAAAACCTGATCAAAAATAAATTGCAAGGGTAATAGGCTATATATGAACAATTTTGAAGTGGAGTTTTAATTTTATCATGGATAAAAAGTTTGTGAGGAAAAGTAAACCTCAAGAAAATTTAATTAATAAATTAAGTAAATAAAGATCTACTGTATACAATAAAATTAGCCTATATTATGTGTGCTGGATCTTTATATTTATTGGATGGATTTTTTTATTTATTTAATTAATCATTTAAATGTGATGAATATATATATATGATAGGCGGCAAGCCCTATATATATATATATATATATATATATTTTATATATATATATATTTATATTTATATATATATATATATATATATATATATATATATATATAATATATATATATATATATATATATATATATATATATATATATATATATATATATATATATTTAAGCGCTTGACTGACGTCAGACATGTTACTGTTCGTTGTTGAATCACGATTCTTAAGGGGACTTTGTTTGTCTTAAAGGGACCATTGTCCACAATGGGGCGCCAAATAACAAGCGGTGAAGTTGTCATGACGACGCGTTGACAAGTATGATTCATTTGTATGCTTCGTTCGCGCGGCTTTCTATAAGAATCGATTCAAAGAACTGATTTATTTAAGTGAAGTATTTCGTTATACTGATGTCTGATATGTTTTTACTGATCGTAGTTTGTCCACAACAAAGTCTTTATAATTACAATTCTTAAAGGATCTTTGCGTGTTTTAAAGGGACTTTGTCCACAATGGGGCGCCAAATAACAAGCGGTGAGGTTGTCATGACGACGCGTTGACAAGAATGATTCATTTGAGCGAATCGCTTCGTTCGCGCGGCTCTCTATACGAATCGATTAAAAAAAACGGATTTATTTAAGTGAAGTGTTCCGTCAAATACTGCTATTTATCTCTACGTTTTCGATCAAAATAGTGCGTTGATGATATGTGAAACTTTACCGTTTTCGTTTTGTGACTCACCAAATCATGAATTGAATCAATTCAAAGAATCGATTCGGATTTCGGACCGTTTACTAGTTCCCGCCTGGAAAGATATCATAAAAACTCTAAGATAGAGACATAATATCTTTACTACATGTAATATGTATTATTTATGGGCATTTAGTCTCGTAATGTAGTTACGTAGTACGTATAGTGCGCGAGAAATCTGTCCGCGCGCACACTTCCTCGTGCAACCGCATCACGGGAGTGGAAACACCTACAACTCGTTCACACCAAACTACACACAGTAGAGGAAGAGAGAGAGAGGTAGAGGAAGAGAGAGAGGGAGAAAGGGGGCGGTGAATCCTTTGCCACCCGCATACTTTCTTTCTAAACGTCCTCCTCTCTCCCGAATCTCTAGTTTTCCCTCTAACATGGCTGCGCTCTCAGCCTGGTTCTGGAACGAGCGCTTCTGGCTTCCGCACAATGTCACTTGGGCGGATCTGGCCGACCCCGCGCCCGGCGTGGAGTACCCGAAAGCCGGCCACTTGCTCTCCGCGCTGCCGCTGGCCTTGGGGATATTCGCAGTGCGGATAATATTCGAGAGGTATGGTTTTAGTTTGATGGCAAGCTATTTAATGTGTTTGGCATTCATTTGACCATCAGATAAATAGCCTAAACTCTATTGATATTAAATTTCTATCGTTTAAACTCGCATCACGTGCTTCCCCCAGGTTTTAAATTGTAAACGGTTATGGATGCACGTGTCTTAACTTTTATATGGAGATTTTTGGTAGGTCCATTTGGGCTGGTTGAACATGAAAGACATTTCATGCCTCCTGGTCATGAACTCCCAGCCAGATGCATCTGTCAGCTGACCAGATTAGGGCCTAGACTCAGAAAAGAGGATTGCATTTATTGTTCTTTGCTTTAACGTCTTTTCTATGTCTTATTTCACCACTACCTTAACAAACTCATTCTCTCTCATGCTTCTTAGGTGATTATAATATCAGGCGGTAGTGTCCAAAATGAATGATAAATGAACAACACACCTTTAGATGAGCCTGTGCTGCATGCATACTGTATGAATAAGTACAGGTTCTTGTCTTAAGTATGCTTTGTATTCAAGCGTGCTTGAGTGGTAATGACATGTGTTTGTGTCTCACTGTGGGAAAGCTTGGTTTTAAAGGGGTAGCGCACTCAAAAATTGTGTCATCATTTGATCACCCACATGTTTCTTGCACACTTTTTGATGCTCATTCTTATGTGGAACATGACAGGAGAGCTTTGATACAATGTTCACGCTGCTCTTTTCCATACAATGTATGTAAATGGGGACTTGCGCTACCAAGTTTGAAAATGAGGGGGGAAAAAACAAATATTAGCTCGTTTAACTATACTATCATATGGCTTATAGAAGAGAGCGCACTACATATATGTACTACTTTATCAGTTTGGGTGTGAGTAATTGATGATAAAATCCAAATATTTGGGTGAACTGCTCCTTTAATAGATACATTTCTAATTTTCATTATTAATAAAGGCACTATGTAAGTTGCACCAAACCCCAGGTGTTATAACATGATTCTGTAATGTAAGATCCACCGTCGCTCTTTCTGCGGTTGTGTTTCTGCTGGAGGCACATTTAGTGTCTTGAACTACTAATATTTTTGATTTAGGACTAAGAATAGGCCGTTGTTAAAAAAAATAAGAACTTGTTCTTAAGTGACTTGCCTGGTTAAATTAAGGTTAACTAAGAATAGGCTGCATAAACATTCCAGAGTTGAACGTTCGGTGGGTGGGATCTCGTTTGACGTCTATAACCCAGTTTGCATGAGAAAAAGTGCCTGGGTCTGATATGCTTTCAAAGAAGTACTGTGGTGTTAGATGGAACTGTTTAGCATATTACTATATATATATTCATGTTTCATTGTTTTGAAAGGTGCGTAAGGGTATTATGTCCAAAAACAACTTATTTGTTAGTGTGGCTTAGGTTGATGTAATGATAAGAATGAAGATCTCGAGGAACCTGTTAGGAGAAACTTCTTAAGACGTTCTCTTCTCTTTCTTACCGATCCAGTTGAGGTGAAAGTATTTCGTGGCTGTAAAGTCTGGTCACACCGGTTCTGTTTAAATGGTAAAAATGTACATTTGACAAGTTTCGCTCATGGTTTGTGGGCTAATCACTAAAAATAGCAAGCGAAACTAGTCCTCAGAACTAGCTCAGACGCAAGACATCGGCCCAAGTGTGGTTGGTTTCTTATAACTGTGATACTTTGAAATATCGATGTGCTTAGGGTTAATTTTTTTTTTGTTATTAAGTTCAGAAGATAAGATTGAAGTATATAAAGTAAATTATTTCCATGATATTTGTTTTGGCTCGGTTGGATATGTTTGTCTTCATGGTTGTAAGGTTTACCATGTAAGACACATTTTAATTTTAGTATCAATAAAATGCTATTATTGTTTTTATTACTATTTTGAATTAATTTGTACTTTTAGATTTTTTTAGCAATTTCATTTTGATTTCAAAGTTTTAGTGTTTAATTGCGTTTTTTGTCATTTTTATTATTTTTTTTTATATAGTTTGAATTGATTTTATTTTAATGAATGAAATTTAGTTTTAATTTAGGCCTAGATTATTTTAAAACATAAAGTTAAACTAAATGAAAATAAGAAATGTCGCTTTGGCATTTAGGTAGATGAAGAAAATAGTTTTTATTATGGTTTCTTCTGATTGATATCTACGGAGCCCCTAAAGGGACATTGTGATTGAATAAAATATGGAATGGGGTGGAAAATTGTATATCAATTCTTTTGTGTTCTCTCGCAAATGTTTTGCGTTCCCCGAAAAACTTTGCATTTGCTCGCAAAGAAAAGTTTTGCGAATGAATGCACAATTTCTCTGGGAACGCGAAGCTTTTGGAAGCGAATGCCAAGTTACTCGGTTGGAACGTAAAGCTTTTGTGAATGAACGCAAAGTTTCTCGGTTGGAACGTAAAGCTTTTGTGAATGAACGCAAAGTTTCTCGGTTGGAACGTAAAGGTTTTGTGAATGAACGCAAAGTTTCTCAGTTGGAACGCAAAGGTTTTACGAGCGAACGCAAAGTCACTCGGTTGGAACGCAAAGGTTTTACGAATGAACGCAAAGTTTCTCGTGTGAAACGTAACGGTTTTGTGAGCAAACTGAAAAGTTTCTCAGTTGGAACGTAAAGGTTTTACGAATGAATGCAAAGTTTCTCAGTTGTAACGTAAAGGTTTTACGAATTAATGCAAAGTTTCTCAGTTGGAACGCAAAGGTTTTACGAATGAACGCAAAGTTTCTCGTGTGAAACGTAAAGGTTTTGTGAGCAAACTGAAAAGTTTCTCAGTTGGAACGTAAAGGTTTTACGAATGAATGCAAAGTTTCTCAGTTGGAACGTAAAGGTTTTACGAATGAATGCAAAGTTTCTCAGTTGGAACGTAAAGGTTTTACGAATGAATGCAAAGTTTCTCGGTTGGAACGTAAAGGTTTTACGAATGGATGCAAAGTTTCTCAGTTGGAACGTAAAGGTTTTACGAATTAATGCAAAGTTTCTCAGTTGGAACGCAAAGGTTTTATGAATGAACGCAAAGTTTCTCGTGTGAAACGTAAAGGTTTTGTGAGCAAACTGAAAAGTTTCTCAGTTGGAACGTAAAGGTTTTACGAATGAGGCCATCCTTAAAAATATTTTGGTTTGCAGTAACAGCAAAAAAAAAAAAAAAAAGGGTCGGTAGGTAGGTCTATATATTTTTTTTTTTCAAAATTCAATGAAAAAAAAAAGGACAATTTTGGTCATGGTGATTAGGTCGGTATGAATTTAAACAAATTTGCATATCGTGACGCCACTGACAGTGTCTTCAACCCATGCCTTTGGGCGCACCATTGCGAATCTCATTCTGATACAGGTTATAGACAACAAACAATTTGAAATCTTTGTCAAAAAACATGTTTATTGCATTAATTCCAGCTGCATTCATTTGGGGAAAAAGAGTGGATTTTCAGAGGGAAACAAATAAATTAATGACTAATCTCACCAGCGCCGCGCCGACCAATAAAACAGCGCATTTGGCACTATTCGTTTAAATTGGACCCATGAACATCTGCTATTATTAACGGAAATCAGTGAGGTCAAATGGCTAGGCGCATTGTAGAAACTATATTAAGTAGTCCTGACATATTATGGAATGGTCGATTTTCTTTAGTGTAATTTAGTACATTTCGGTATGGGATGTGCTGTTTTATTGGTCAGCGCGGCGCTGGTGAGATTAGGTCGCGCAAGCAAACACTTCCTCCCTGCGCTGTCGAGTCTGTCGCGCTCGCGTGTCTCGGTCCATTGAGCCACGCAGATTAGCTACATGTCCGCGCTGCGCGAACTCTGTAACACCCCGCCGTTTCGTCCCACTTTCGGTGTGTTTGGCTTCCCATACTTATGTGTGTTTGTCAGAGCCTGCCGTTGCTGTGTGACGCGCGTTCGCGGCGGCCATATCGTGACGAGCTGCTGGACGCGCTCCGAGAAAAGGCCGTTAACATCTATTCCCTATTTGACCATTAAGAATTTCGAATAATGAGCGACTAAATGTAGGCTCATACAGACGTATTTCACAAGCAGCCGCGCCGCAGCCATCATCACCGAGCGCGAACCATTGACAGTGAATGAAATGAATCGAACGCACAGGCCATGTGACATGCGTAAACCAATGGTGTAAACATAATCATCATATAGATGACGCCACGGGTTTTTATTTAAAAGAAAGAACGTAGCTTGCTTACTATAATATAATTGATATTTTATTGCATTTGTATTAGTTGTTTGAAGAGTAAAAAAAAATCGGTCGGTCTTAATGCAAATTTACAACCGGCAAGTCGGTCGGACTAAAAGGGAAAAAAAATAAAAAATTGGGTCGGTCCTAAATTGACAGGGTCGGTCGGGTTACGGCAAACAAGAATATTTTTAAGGATGGCCTGAATGCAAAGTTTCTCGGTTGGAACGCAAAGGTTTTACGAGCGAACGCAAAGTCACTCGGTTGGGACGCAAAGCTTTAGTGAATGAACGCAAAGTTTCTCGGTTGGAACGTAAAGGTTTTGCGAACAAATGCAAAATTTCTCGGCTGTAACATAAAGGTTTCGCGAGCAAACTTTTAAGTGAGAACGGAAAGCATTAAAAAATGTTTTTTCAAAAAAACGTCTTTCCGTGGCGGTGAAGTCTGGTCACACCGGTTCTGTTAAAACGGTTAATGTACATTTGACAAGTTTCGCTCGTGGTGTTTTTCTCCCATCCCACCTTGTCTCTTTAGCAGTTTAGTATTTAGATTTACCTTCAGGGGAACCTAAAGCTTCGGTTTGTGGATTAGCCAGCCTTAAAACTCCGGACGGACCTCATTCTTGTAGAAGAGCTTGTAAATATTCAGTACGTCCCCTCGAGGAACGTTCAGTTGATGCATTGATGGTTTCTGATACCAATCATTCAGTGTCATGCATGAACATACTACATTGGCTCTCAGTGAATTGGACCTCTTTTGTTGTGCAGGCCAACTTGAGCGTTGTCAGGCACGCACCCCTGTCATGTTTCACGATGATCCTCATGTC